TTCCTCAACCCCATTCTCCTGCTTTCTCCCCATAACCCTTGATCCCCTTGATAATCGAGAACCTATCTATCTCAGTCTTAAATGTACTCAATGACCTGGCCTCCACAGCCTTCTGTGGCAGTGAGTTCCATAGATTCACCACTCTCTGGCTGAAGAAGTTTCTCCTTATCTCCATTCTAAAAGGTCTTCCCTTTACTCTAAGGCTGTGCCCTCGGGTCCTATTCTCTCCTACCAATGGAAGCATCTTCCCAACATTCACTTTGTCCAGGCCATTCAGTATTCTGTAAGTTTCAATTAGATCCCCCCTCATCCTTCTAAACTCCAATGAGTACAGACCCAGAGTCCTCAAACGTTCCTCATATGTTAAGCTTTCCATTCTGGGACCATTCTCATGACCCTCCTCTGAACCCGCTCCAGAGCCAGTACATACTTCCTGGGATACGGGGCTCAAAACTGCACACAATACTCCAAATGTGGCCTGACCAGAGCCTTATAAAGCCTCTGTAGTACATTCCTGCTTTTATATTCAAATCTTTTCAAAATAAATGCCAACATTGCATTTGCCTTCCTGACTATTGACTCAACCTGCAAGTTTACCTTGAGAGAATCCTGGACCAGAACTCCCAAGTCTCTTTGCACTTCAGACTTCCCAATTTTCTCCCCATTTAGAAAATAGTCCATGCTTTTATTCTTCTTACCAAAGTGCATGACCTCATACTTTCCCACATTGTACTCCATCTGCCACTTCTTTGCCTGCTCTCCTAACCTGTCCAAATCCTTCTGCAGACTCGCCACCTCCTCAATACTACCAGTCCCTCCACCTATCTTTGTATCGTCTGCAAACTTAGCCAGAATGCCCACAGTTCCTTCCTCTAGACCATTAATGTATAAAGTGAAAAGTTATGGTCCCAGCACTGACCCTTGTGGAACACCACTTGTCACCGGCTGCCATCCTGAGAAAGACCCCTTTATCCCAACTTTCTGCTTTCTGCCAGACAGCCAATCTTCTATCCACGATAGCACCTTGCCTCGAACACTATGGGCCCTTATCTTACTCAGCAGCCTCCTGTGTGGCACCTTGTCAAAGGCCTTCTTGAAGTCCAGGTAAATAACATCCATTGGCTCTCCTTGGTCTACCCTGCTTGTTACTTCCTCAAAGAATTCTAGTAGATGTGTCAGGCATGACCTCCCCTTGATGAAACCATGTTGACTTTGCCGTATTTTACCATATACTTCCAAATATTCAGAAATCTCATCCTTTACAATGATCTCCAAAATCTTAGCCACGACTGAGGTTAGGCTAATCGACCTGTAATTTTCCATCTTTTGCCTTACTCCCTTTTTAAACAGGGGTGTCACGTTAGTGATTTTCCAGTCCTCTGGGACCCTCCCTGACTCTAGCGATTCCTGAAAGATCACCATTAACGCTTCCACTATCTCTTCAGCTATCTCCTTTAGAACTCTGGGGTGTAGGTCATCTGGTCCGGGTGATTTGTCCACCAATAGGAACTGTTTAGAAGGATACGGGCCAAGTGCAGGCAAGTGGGACTAGTTTAATTTGAGAAACTAGGTCAGCATGGATGAGTTGGACCGAGGGATCTGTTTCCGTGACTCTATGACTAGAAGTGTGGATGCTCACCGATGATTGCACAATGTTCAGACACTGAAGCTGTCCATTTTCAAATGCAGCAAGCTCTTGACATTCCTGCCACACAAATGCCGGGTGATGACCATTTCCAGTAAGAGACAATCTAACCACTGCCCCTTCACATTCAATGGTGTTACCATCATTGAATCTCTCACTATCAACATCCTGGAGGTTACCTTTGACCAGAAACTCAACTGGGCTCACCACTTTAACAGAGTGGCTACAAGAGCTGGTCAGAGGTTAGGAACACTATGGTCAGTAACTCACCTCCTGATTTCCCAAAGCCTGTCCATCATCTACATGGCAGAAGTCAGGAGTCTGATGGAATAATCCCCACTTGCCTGGATGGGTGCAGCCCCAACAACATTCAAGAAGCTTGACACTGTCCAGGACAAAACAGCCGCTTGATTGGCACCACATCCACAAGCATCCACTCCCTCCATCACCGACGCTCAGTAGCAGCAGTGTGTACTATCTACAAGATGCACTGCAGAAATTCACAAAAGATCCGCAGACAGTACCTTCCAAACCCGCGACCACTTCCATCTAGAAGGACAAGAGCAGCAGATACATGGGAACACCACCACCTCCAAGTTCCCCTCCAAGCCACTCACCATCCTGACTTAGAAATATATCACCGTTCCTTCACTGTCACTGGGTCAAAATCCTGGAATTCCCTCCCTAAGGGCATTGTGGGTCAACCTACAGCAGGAGGACTGCAGCGGTTCATGAAGGCAGCTCACCATTACCTTCTCAAGAGCATCTAGGGATAGGCAATAAATGCTGGCCAGCCAGCGATACCCACATTCGATGAATGAATAAAAACAGTAATCACATCCAGATTTGGGCCGATAAGTCACAAGTAATATTCACTCCTCACAAGTACAAGGTCAATGACCCTGTCCAACAAGGGAGAACCTAACCGTTGCCCTGAGATATTCAATGCCATCACCATCACTGAAACCACACTATCAACATCCTGGGGGTTACCACTGACCAGAATTGAACTGAACTTGCTGTATAAATAAGTGGCTACAGGAGCAAGTCACAGGCAAGGAATACTGCAGCAAGTAACTCACCAGCTGACTCCCCAAAGTCTGTCTGTCATCTAAAAGGCACAAGCAGGGGTTGACAACACTTGCCTGTGTGCGTGCTACTCCAATAACACTCCTGAAGCTCAACACTGTCCAGGACAAAACTGCTCGCTTGATTGGAACTTCATCCATCAGCTTCAACATTCACACACTCCAACGCCAATTCACCATGGGGGTAGTGTGTACCAACTAAAAGACGCACAGCAGCAATTCACCAAGGATCCCTCGACACCACCTTCCAAACCTACAATCTCTAGCAGCTAGAAGGACAAGGGCAGCAGATACAAGGGAAAACAAGTTCCCCTCCAAGCTACTCACCATCCAGAGTTGGACACTCACCATTGCTGGGCTAACATTCTGGAAATCCCTTTCTAACAGCAGTGTAGATGCACCTACACCAAACAGGCTGCAGCGATTTAAGAAGGTGGCTCCCCATCATATCCTCAGGGGCAAGATAGGCAATAAATACTGGTGATGCTCATACCCAAGGAGCAAATATAACAACCTCCTTATAAATCAAGGAAGAATTCCCCATTTTTAAATGTTTTTCTTAAAGAAAACAGGTGGTGTCTGCATTCAGAGAACCAGGGCAGCTCCACTCAGCTACCGCCCCTTAAGTGATTCACAATGAAAAGCCAAGCAGAATAACATTGTGAATACTGTGTGCATTTTTATACTGATTAAATCAGTAACCCTATAGGATGAGAGCACTGCGTTAACCTTGCAGAATACAAATGACTGGGCTCAGGAAACGTGGCCTCCCATTGCACACTAGGACTCCTTGCAACTCCTGAGCTGTTTAAAAGGTCAGGGGAAAGCCAGTGTGAACTTTAGCCTCCCCAGCATTAGCCCATGCTGTTATTTTAAGCTCAATATATTCTCGCATGTCAATGTCCCATCTACTGACGCCAAAGCTCCAGTGAATCCCATTGCTTTGCAAAATACAACTTACTTAAAGGTGAATTCAGAAAATTGTAGGGTACCAGGGTCAGAGTGCAACTGGCAGGAGGATAATTAGCCAACGTTCCAATAAAAGGTAATGGCTCTGGTACTGCAGTAAAGGCACATGGACTGAAAAGGAGCACAAAGCAAAATGCTGACCCAGAATCACGATGGAATGATTTCAATGTAAAAGACAGTTTATAAACTGGATCAGAGATAGTAGGAACTGCAGATGCTGGAGAATGCGAGACAACAAGGTGCAGGGCTGGATGAACGCAGCAGGCCAAGCAGCATCATAGGAGCAGGAAGGCTGACGTTTCGGGATTTCTGATGAAGGGTCTAGGCCCGAAACGTCAGTTTATAAACTGTCCTCATTCACCAAAATAACTGGCGTTTCAACATGCCACAACCAAACCTGGTGAATTAACAGCACTCTCTTCCTTGCATCGTTGTCTCGAAACCCCGGCACTGGAAACATCTAAGTCACACACACACACGGGCGAAACTAAATGTAGGAATTTCAGGGAAGCATTAATGCATCCTGAAATTCTGCCTCCATTTGCTGCGGGGATGGATACATGGTAGAAAAACACTGCCACCTGCTGGACAGAACTAGAGCTGTCGGTTAGTCAGCAACTGGTTCAAACTCCACTGGGCACAGGGCCCACTCCAATCAATTGTGAACATTCATACATCAGGTCACATCGATTAACAACTAATTAACAGACTATCAGTTTAAAAAAAAGTCTAAAACCATCTTTAAAAAAAAAATAAAGCAAATATAATCCAGTGGAATGAGGAGCGAGTGAGAATTGTGAGAGTAGTTCATTACTGTGTCTATTTTGTCCAACCCACAGCTCACCCTCACACAACCTCATTCCCTGCCTCACCTTCATCCTACTTGTGTCTACCTGGAAACTGCTGGCAGCCCAAAGTCTAATCTCTACATAAGGCGATAAGAACGAAGAGCAGGCCATTCAGGCCCTGGAGCCTGTGTCACCACTGAATACCACCATGGGTGAACTCATCTTGGCCTCAAACTCCACTTTCCTGCCCACTTTCCATATCCCTTCATCCCATTCCCAATTAAAAATCGGGCTCTCTCCTCCCTAAAAGAGTCCCAGCATCCACCCAAGTCTGGAGTAGTAAATTCCCACAGATTCAGGACCCTTTGAGACAAGTATTTCCTCCTCATCTCAGATTTAAGTCTGTCATCCCTTAGGAGGGGAAGCATCCTCCCTACCTTTGCTTTGTCAACCCCCTTTAGCATCATATATACCTCAATTAATTCACGGTTAATGATGAGTGTGACAGACCTGTCGACTTCAGTTTCAGGGAGGAGATCGTAGCAGCCCTCTGTGTAGTCATTCTGAAGGCTCTGCCGGTCTGGGAAGTAGTCTGTGGTGAGTGGCAAGCAGGCAGGTGTGGTGAGCGACTTCCAGTCAACACCCACTGTGCAACAGAAACTGGGCACTACAGGAGGAGCAGACAGCATCAGAACTTCAGCGCGTCAGAAAATCATACGGACACCGAATTCCAGGACAAGGAATGAGAAGTGGGGGGGGGGGGGGGGGGTGGAGGAGGAGGAGGAAGGGAATGGGGAAGGGAGGGAGAAAAACGGACAGAAGGGGAGGGAGGAAGGAGAAAATTAAAGCCATTGATTGAGCAAAAAGGGATGTAGGAAGAGTGAGAAGAAAGAAAAAAATTATTATTAGCTGTTTAAAAAAAGGATTCTTGTTATTAAAAATTTAACATGCATGTACATCATTTGCATAATTTGACAGCGATATCCAAAACACAAAAAAAAGTTACCTTAGGAATTGTTAAGCATATAAATTAATTGTGAACTGTGCAAAACAACAGGAGGGATTATTTGCTTGTCAATTATGTTTTTCATCCATTGTTAAAAAGGTAGTAGGATTGGGTCATTAGGCATACAGAGGTTGCACTGTTATACGAGACATCCCACAGACAGACTGCACATGGGGAATGGGTCACAATGACACATCATGCTGGTTATGTTTCAAAGCGGAGAGAACAGGCACACAGAAAGTACAAATCAAAAAGTGGAAAACAAAGTCAATCCAGCATTAAATCCTGAAACATTCAGTAAATACTGTTTTACTTCTACTGCTATGCCAGCAAGCAGCTGGAACCTTTTCCAAGCTTGTTCACTGTAGGGGTACTGGCGAGGGTTCCTAGCTGCAGCAGATAAGTGGTATCAGACACATAAATGTTAATATGTGAAACAAAATAGGCACAGATACAAGGCACCCTGCTCTGTGTATAACAGGATTATACTCAATAGTTAGCTGTAGTGATATCAGGTGTTGCTCTGACTAGAAAAATAACCAGTTACAACTAACAGTTAGTACATCAGAGAACTGCTATTGCTTATGGCTTTCATTAGTTGGATTACATGCAGTGATAGTCTGACCAAGTGCACTTTTTAATCGTTTTGATTCTCTCTCTTCCTTTCCACAAGGTGTTCTCACATGGACACAAACATCCCTCTAATAACTCAGCCCAGTGAGTCTGGGCAGCCAGCGTTAACAGGAGAACCAGTCTAACTCTCCCCTAGACTGATACATACACATGCACATTGCTCAGCAGCAGCCAGTGGCTTATAGTCCCAGAGATAGTAGGAACTGCAGATGCTGGAGAATCTGAGATAACAAGGTGTAGAGCTGGATGAACACAGCAGGCCAAGCAGCATCAGAGGAGCAGGAAGGTTCAGTTTGTTTCTTTCCCCTCCATCAACCCTGAACTATAGCCTAATTGAAGTCTGCCCCCCTCCCCAGGTTGCTGTCTTGGGCGGAAACACAGTGAGATATGGGGCCTTCATATTAACCTCCAATTCCCTGTCAGGCCACTGAAGGATCTATGCATCTTTCCATCTACAGTGCTAAAGCACCATGATTAAGGTGGTGCAAATGAATAAAAACATTGTCGACATGTTTTAATGACTTTCGGGTCTTAAAAAGATAGAACGTGACAACCAAGATGACCAGACATTTTATCCTGCAGTCAATTTATTTGGAAAGTTAACACATAGAGCATCAATTTTCACTTTCTGGGTTTGTTCCCCCCAGTCTTCTCTGGGTTATGTTAATGCTGAGCTGAATACACCGTATGGGTGAGAATTCTGACCTCTACGCTGAGCAGAGCAATAATAGGACCCTTTTCCAGCTCCCCCAATGTTAGATCTGGCTGAGCACCATGCACTCGGCACAGACGAGAGATTGAAGCCTGAGGCTGCTGGTCTGGGTGCTGCAAGTGCTGAAGCGGGCAGCATCTCACTCACTGGGCCGTGGCTATAATCGCTAGACCAGCATCTTCCCTTCATGCGTGCGAATGGTAGCAGTAGACTGGAATTCAAAGCTCGCATCAGAGGGTGTCACCTCAATCTGGGAACCGCTCGCCATCCCCAGTAATCTCTAGCTTGGTTTTGGGTATCAACTTGGATTACACAGAACAAACTAGGACAAGTATGCAGGGTTAGGGCTGGATTTTAGAGTCAGTTGGCAAGATGTGCAAAAGAAGAGCTAAGCTCTGTGGGGAGGGTGGGATGTAGGTTCAAAATAAACTGGAGGGCATGGAGGAATGGTATCAAGGTATGGATCAAAACAGTGAAATACCAACTTACAGCTGATGGGAGTCTGGAAGATGTTTTTAACTGGACCTTACAGTACACAGTGTTCTACTGATTATGTAACATCATCCATACCACACCAGCCCAACAAACATTAAACACATTGTTACAATACTGAGGAGGTCTGATAGCAAGCAAAGTTTTCTGAGATGAGCAGGTTATCTACCTGCACCTTATCGAAGCACAGAGTATGGTCACCTCACATGGAGCACTCGGTGAGTTTAAAGTGCTTTCAGTTTAAAGACACCGTTAGGCCAGAGAGTGTGAGCATAACTGAAGGGGAAACATCACATCAGCAAATAAATCTAGAATCTTAGAATCCCCACAGTGTGGAAGCAGGCTATTCAGCCCATCGAGTCCACACCAACCCTCCAAACAGCATCACATCCAGGCTCACCCCGTCCCTGTAAGCCTTAATTTCCACAGCTAATCCTGCACATCCTTGAACACTACGAGCAATTTAGCACGGCCAATCCACCTAACCTGCACATCTTTGGACTGTGGGAGGAAACCAGAGCACCCGGAGGAAACCCATGCAGACACAGGGAAAATGTGCAAACTCCACACAGACAGTTGCCCGAGGGTGAAATCGAACCCGGGTCCCTGGTGCTGTGAGACAGCAGTGCTAACCACTGAGCTGCCCCTATGTGTCCAACATTAAAAGGCACTGGAAGTGCAGTCAGTAAAAAGACAAACTGCTATTCTACTGAATAAGATACTGAGATTGGTGTGGGTTTGGACAAGACCCACTAACCTGAGGAGTGCAGTGAGGTAGCCAGTGGCTACCATCTAATCCCTCCCTGATCCTGGCTACGCTGAGCTGGGAGACAGTGGGTACAGGCCTGGTCCAACTCCCACAGGCAGCAGAGAATCAGACCGGCAGTCAAGCCTGGCCTGCTGCTTCCAAAGACGCAGCACTGTACAGGCAGTGAGGGTGAACCCATGCTCCTGGCTGAAGGATCAGATAGGTAGATGGAAAGGTAGGGACAAAGAAACAGAGTAAAATTGCTAAAGCATCTTGAAAATAAGATGCAATGCATCTTGTGGTACAGATATACAGCCAGCAGCTGCTTGGCTGACATACGTATGAAGTGATTCAGTTCTTTAGCTATTTAGAGCTATTGGGGTTGTGGGGAAGGAAGGGAGAGAAAGGCAGATTTTTAGTTCTCCTTTCATTAAAGGTCAAAATGCTGTCAACAGGCAGAAGGTTAACTACACATCTGAAAGAAGAGAAGCTGGTTAATGTTCTACCCAGTCTCTCCCTGGACATGAACCTGTCCTCCCCCCACCCTTCAGCTGACATTGACCTGGTGGGCACTTTCACCGTACTTTCACTATGTATCGTTTGCCTTTTCTCCTCTTTAGACTGGCTTGATTCAGTTGGGGACTCACTTGGATCACGGCTGACGGAAGGATCTTCACAGGACGACGCCTGGTTCAGTGGGGTGCCTGAAATGGAAACAGACATGATCAGCCAGTTCTGATCCATCAGCATATAACACTCTTTCTAACTCACTGGGCGCTCACCTTGCCAAAATGCTGTCTGCCCAGCAGCTACAAACAGGTCATGGCCACTCATGTCCTTTTACGCAAGGAATCTGCCATCAAGTTCTACCGACCAGGTCTGGCCTACATGTGACAACAGTGTGGTTGACGCTTACTCCCACTTTGGGCAATTAGGAGTGGGTAATAAATACAGGCCTAGCCAGTAACACTCACATCCCATCAATGAATAAAAAGACAACGTGACCAACTCTAGACCAAAAATAACCCACCAAGCCCAATGTCCCAAGACTGTCGGCCACCATCTACAGCACATCATGAAGTGTTTGGGAAACCAAATCAATCTGGTTTACATCGAGGAAGCTGATACAGTCAAAAGTGTCACCAAACAGGATTTGTGAAGCGATTTTACCAAGTTTGGTACTTTTCCAGTCTCTGGCAGTGAACCAGCCTTCCTTTTGCATTTCAATGTAACTGCTCTCCTGTAAGTAGAGTAATACACCTGAAACCAGGATGCTTTTTTAAGCCACATGCTTTATTTGTTGGTTCCTGCCCCCTGCCTATCACGAGAATCCAAGTTGAAAACACGCTCAATGGACAGATTCCAGCACTACGCTGAAGCTAGTGGACTAGCTTACACAGGACTGCATTTAGTGAAGATCACAAGAGTTGTGGAAATATACCATCCACCTGATATTGTGCTTAATATCTACTATCTCCAAATCAGAAACTGCTGTTTTTCGCTGCCTTGAGGAGTCCTACTGCAGAGGTGCCTGTAATTGGGGACTGTATTGCACGGGACATGGTGCAGACGTTCACAGTATTTGCTGATCACTTGGTTGGATTAATGACTGACCACCACTGCTTCACTCACAGGCCTGATGTCTGGCTGGTGCAGCAGCAAACTATTCGCTCAGCTGAAGTCTCCTCGGTCTGCCCTGCACTCACTCGCCACCATTCTTGGTCAGGGGTGGCATGTGTGACAAATTTGTGGAGTGCATTCCCAAGCTCAGCATGACAGTACAGTTACAACATTTAAAAGGCATCTGGATGGGTATATGAATAGGAAGGGTTTAGAGGGATATTGGCCTAATGCTGGCAAATGGGACTAGATTTATTTAGGGTATGTGGTCGGCATGGACACATTGGATTGAGGGTCTGTTTCCGTGTTGTACAACTCTACGACTCTCTCAGAGAGAACCCTTGGCCAATGCTCTGGGGACAAGGGTTTAAATCCCACCATGACAGATTGTGGAAATTTGAATTCCATAAAAGTCTGGAATAAACAGCGACCCTAATGATGGCCACCGTCGATCGTCTTAAAAACCCCTCTGATTCACTCAGATCCTTTCGGCAAAGTAACTGTTGTCCTTACCTAGTCCGGCCTCTGCGTGACTCCAGACCCACAGCAATGTGGTTTTTGCTTAACTGCCCTCTGGACAAATAAATGCTACCACCCAATTCCCATGAACAAATCTTTAAAAAGGCGATTAAGTAATGGCACCTCTGCATCTTAACTCTGTCTACTTCCTTAGGTTTGTAACCATTTCATAATTTTACTCAACGTAATACTTCTCTCTCTGCTCTGGATACAGTCAGACAGCATGGAAACAGACCCTTTGGTCCAATCCATCCACACCAACCAAGTTTCCCAAACTAAACTAGTCCCACTTTCCTACATTTGACCCATATCCCTCTAAACCTTTCCTATTTGTGTACCTGTCCAAATGTCTTTAAATGTTGTAACTGTACCTGCATCTACCACTTCCTCTGGCAGTTCATTCCACACACAAACCATTCTCTGTGTGAAAAAGTTGTCCCTCATGTCCCTTTTATATCTTTCTCCACTCACCTTAAACTATGTCCTCCGAGTTTTGAACTCCCCCATCCTAGGGAAATGACCTTTGCTATACATCTTACTTATATCCCTCATGATTTTAAACCTCTATAAGGTCACCCCTCAATCTCCTACGCTCTAGTGAAAGAAGTCCCAGCCTATCCATCCTCTCGTTATAACTCAAACACTCCATTCCCAGCAACATCCTGGTAAATCTTTTCTGAACCCTCTCCAATTCAGTAATATCCTTTCTAAAGCAGAGTGAGCAGAACTGGATACAATACTCCAAAAAATGGCCTCACCAACATCCTGTACAACAACAACAACAACAACATGATGACCCAACTCATATTCTTAAAGGTCTGAGCAATGAAGGCAAGCATACTAAACACCTTTTTAACCACCCTGTCTACCTGTGACACAACTTTCAAAAGAACTATGTACCTGAACCCCTCGGTCTCTCTGTTTGACAGCACTGCCCAGGGCCCTACCATTAACTGTGTAAGTCCTACCCTTGTTTGTTTTACCAAAATGCAACACTGCACAATTAGCCAAATTAAACTCCATTTGCCACTCCTCAGCCCGTTGGCCAATCTGATCAAGATCACTTTGTAAACTTAGATAACCTTCTTCATTGTCAACCATACCACCACATTTGGTGTCATCTGCAAACTTTATTAACCATGCCTCCTATATTCTCACCCAAGTCATTTATATAAATGAGAAGCAAAAAAGAACCCAATAACGATCCCTGTGAAATACCGCCAGTTACAGGCCTCCAGTCTGAAAAAATACCCTCCACCACCACCTTCTGTCTCCTGGTGTTCAGCCAATTTTGTATCAAATTAACAAGCTCTCCTTGAATCCCATGTGATCTAACTTTACTAATTAGTCTACATACAGAATCTTGTCAAAGGTTTTGCTAAAATCCATGTAGACAATATCTACTACTCTGCCCTAGTCTTTCTTCTCGGTCACGTCCTCAAAAAACTGAACCATGTTAGTAAGACATGATTTCCCTCGCACAAAATCATGCTGACTATCCCTAATCAGTCTTTGCCTCTCCAAATACACATAAATCCTCTCTCTCAGGATCCCCTCCAACAACGTATCTACCATTGATGTTAAACTCACAGGTCTGTAGTTCTCAGGCTTCTCCTTACAGCCTTTCTTATATAAAGGCACAACATAAACCACCCTCCAGTCCTTTGGCATCTCACCTATGGCTGTAAGTGATACAAATATCTCTGCTAGAGGCCTTGCAATTTCTTCCTTAACTTCCCACAACGTCCTGGGCAGTATGTGTTTGAGGGACCGAGTTACAGGTTTCCACTGTTCCTGAAAAGGTGCTTCTTGGCATCACTCACCCTCACTGGAAAAGTAAAGACCTCTTTGCTCCAGACTGTGAGGAAATAGTTTCTCTTTATTCACCCATTAGCACCAACTCCATTGGCTCGTCCCTTAATCCTCAATACTTATAAAATAGAGATTTTAAGTCTGAGTCTCTGAGGTATGGTTCCACAGTGAAGGCTGCCCAGGCTTCAGACCTGCTCTTACTAGTAATGGCTAATGAAGGACATGGGCAGAGCCACAAAAATAAAACAGCATGCGCAACACTCCACAGGGACAGAGAGGGTTATGTCCGTGGGTAGCAGAGAACTGTGAATCAATGCTGAAGTTGCAAATATCTGCAGTTTTGTGTCACAGTGTTTAGGGATCAGGAAGTATTCAAGGAATTTTTTCCTGAGGAGATTGTCTGAGTGGATCTGAACCCAGGATGGGGGAGAATGTAGCCAGTGTGTGGAAAAGGGTAGGCCTGAACTTCTCAGATTCCCAGCTTCTTTAAATAAGGACGTAAAGGAATTGGCAAAGTTCAGTGCAGCTGAGGAAGCTTGCAACATTGCACCTTCTTGCAGATTCTGCCCAGCCTGCTGTTTCCATCGTTTTCTATTTCTGTTTCAGATTTGGTTCTGGTTTTGAAGATTTATGTAACTGCCTATTAATAGGAGCCCAGTGGGTAACATCAGAGGATGCTTGGGCCAGGGCAGACTATACTGAGGCACAATCAAGTAAACTCGCAACTATAATCCTTGTAAAGGATCTCTTTTGCGATTTGGAAACAAATTTTTGCCTCTTCATCCAGCTCTTCAAACCAACATGTAACTCAAATTTCCTTCTCGGTTTCATTTATTTGGATTTTAATCCCGCTTCTGATTAGTAATCACTCCCAACTGGCCATTCTCAAACTGTGAAGCAGAACAGCAAAGTATTGACAGGCGACTCAGGTGTGGGAGAGCTTATTATTAAGATAGGAATCCCATCCTCAGCCAAGATCCAGATACTTCCAACAGGCTCCACTGGGTGGTGATCAGGTGCAGGAACTCATCCTCTTCCCCTCAGCTCACTGCCCATTGAGAGATCAGCCAACTCAATACATCACAGGTACAAGCACACAATCACTCTGGTGTCTTGAGATTTAAGTAAGGCCTTCTTTTCCTCTCCAAAGTTCTTGAACACATTATCGTCTCTCAAACTCAGGCCCATCTTTCCTACCATGCCATGAACTGCTCTGTCCAACTCAAGTATCGAAGAGACTTCTCTCCTTGTCAGAAATGGCATCCTGTTTGACTGTGGCCATGGTAAACCTGTCCATTCCTCCTCTTGTGATAGTGTGGCGACCAGAATTGTATGCAATATTCCAAATGTGACCTCACTCAAGGTCTATACAGCAGCAAAATGACTTGCCAATTTTCATACTCTATGCCCTGAATGATGAAGGCAAGCATGCTATATGCCTTCTTGACCATCATATCCATTTCTGTTGCCACTTTCAGGGAATTATGGACCTGTACACCGAGATCCCTATCTGTATTAATGCTTCTAAGCATTCTGTCATTTACTGCATAACTCCCTCCAGCATTAGATCTTCCAAAATCCATCACCTCGCAATTCTCCAGATTAAACTCCACCTGCCATTTGTCCATGTACATCTCCAGCCTACCTATATCCTGCTGTAGGCTCTAGCAATCTTCCTGACTATTCACAGCTCCCCCAAACTTTACATCGTCCACAATTTTACTAATCAAGCCACCTACATTCTCCTCCACATAATTTACGTATATTACAAACAATAGGGATCCTGGCACTGCTCCCTGTGGAACACCACTGCTCACAGATCTACAGTCAGAAAAACACCTTCCATCACTACTGTCTTCTATGACCAAGCCCAGTTCTGTATCCATCTTACAAGCTCACCGTGGGTCCCATGTGACTTCAACTTCTATATTAACTTGCTACAAGGAACCTTGTCAAAGCCCTTGGTAAAGTCCATGTAGACAACATCCAATCCATCTTTGCCACTTCCTCCAAAAACACTCTCACACAAAGCCACACTGCCTATTGCTGTGAAGTCCATATTTCTCCAAATGTGACTAAATCCTGTCCTTAAGAATCTTCTCCAATAATTTCACTGCCACTGATGTAAGGCTCATTGGCCTCTAATTTCCCAGATTATCCCTATTGCCCTTCATAAACAAAGGAATAAAACTGGCTATTCTCCAGTCCTCGAGGACCTCTTCTGTGGCTGAAGAGGATACAAAGATTTTGTACAAAGTGCATCAATTTATTCCCTGTCTCCCTCAGTATTCTGGGATTGATCTCCTCAGGTCCTGGGGACTTGTCTATAGCAATGCTTTTCAAAACACCCAAAACTGCCACCTTTTTTATACTGACATGTCCTAGGATATCAACCTACCCCTCTCTAGACTGACTGCCCATCATGTCCTTCTCCTTTGTGAATTCGGATGCAAACTATTCATGAAGAACCTCACTCACTTCCTCTAGCTCCACGCATAAAATCCCTCCTTTGTACTTAAGTGGACCTACCTTTTCCCCAGCTACTCTCTTGCTCCTTATACATGCATAAAACACCTTGGTATTTTCCTTAATCCTGTTTGCTGAGGACATTTTATGGCCCCTTTTAGCCCTCCTACCTCCTTGTTCAAATTCTTTCCTGTTTTCTTTGTATTCTTCCAGCGATTTGCCTGTTGTCAGTTTCCCAGACCTTACATATGCCTCCCATTCCTTTTTGACTAAGCTCGCAATTTCCTTTGACATCCAGGGTACCAGAATCTTGCCGTCCTTATCCTGCATTTTTACAAGAACATGCTGGTCCTGAGCTCTAATCAATTGGTCTTTAAAGGATTCCCTCATGTGGATTTACCCTCAAACAGCCGTCCCCAATCTACGTTTCCCAGTTCCTCCTTAATGTTGTCGTAGTTAGCATTCCCCGAGGACTACTCATCCTTATCCACAAATAGCTTAAAACTTATGGAATTACGGTCACTGTTCCCAAAATGCTCAATCGCCTTTTTTCAAAATTCACTGAGGGAATGAGGGTGTCGCTGGCTGGACCAGCATTTATTGCCCATCCCTAATTGCCTAGAAGGCATTGAGAGTCAACCACATTGCTGAGAGTCTGGAGTCACATGTAGACCAGACCAGGTAAGGATAGCAGTTTTCCTCCCTAAAGAACATTAATGAACAGATAGGTTTTTAATGACAATCATTAGACCCTTTATTCCAGATTTTCTTTAAACTGAATTCAAATTCACCATTTGGAATTTGAACCTGGGTACCCACAACATTCCCTGGATCTCTGGATTAACAGTCCAGTGATGATTCCACTAGGCCTCTCACCTGGTCAGGCTCATTCCCTAATACCTGGTATTCTATGGCCCTTTCCCTATTAACATGTTGCTTCAAGAATCCCACTTGGATGCACATAATAAACTCCCCCCCACTGACACTAAGGGAGTCCCAGTTAATACAGGCAAAGTTAAAATCATCCGACATAGCAACTCTAATGCTTCCACATTTTTCCCTAATCTTTCCACATATCTGTTCCTCAACCTCCTGCTGGCTTTTGGGAGGTGCGTAGTACAACCCCACCAAAGTGACTGCACTCTCCCTATTCCTGAGCTCTATCCATATGGCCTCACTGGATGAGCTGAACAAGGTTTCCTCCCTCAGTACAGCTACAATATTCTCCCTAATCAGGAATGCAACACCCCCACCTCTTTTACATCTCTCTCGCTTGCCCGAAACGATAAACTGCCAGTCTCGCCTCTCTCTCAACTAAGTCTCCCTAATAGCTACAGCATCTTAGTTATATGTATTAAACCAAGCTCTAAGTTCATCGGCCTTACCTGTCATATTGCTCACATTAAAATATAGTTCAGACTGTCAGGCCTCACAAACGTCCTGTATGACCTCAACATGATGTCCCAACTCCTATACTCAAAAGGTCTAAGTCAGCTCAGACTGGTCCAGGTGTTGCATGGTGAATGCACCAAAGAATGGCTGTTTGCTCAAGGTTTTGTTTAGTTGAAAAAGGCATAATGAGTGGACATGGTCTTTTTGTTTGCAAATGCCTTTTGTCATTTAATCTGTCCTATCATTCACCTTACTAGAGACCTTTCCTTTTGCTGTTTCCTCCCACATCCCTTCTTTGCTACCTCTATACTTGCTGATAAACTTTTACATCCTAAAAACTTTCTCCTATTCAAAGGTCATCTAAGTGAAACATTAATTATGGTTCTCTCTGCTGCTGTTTCCTGACTTGCTGAGTATTTTCAGCATTCTTTATTTTTTATTTCAGTGTCCCCCTCAATATTTTGTCATATGTATTTTGACAACAAAAGATTTCAAAACGAGAATTTTAATTATTTTTGAAATCGTTCTATAGATTACTGTGACTGAACTCAGCAAGGGAACATGAAACTGTTTCTGAAATTAACATAACAACGGAACCAAAAGCGAACACTCCCAGGCCTTGCACAAATTTACCTGCACTGTGGTTGCTGGCAGGACTGGTGGCAAACTCCTCGGTTCCTGTACAGCCCAGGAATGATACGTTATCAGCTGCCTGCCTGGCAGCACTCCGTCTGGGGGGATGGGGGGCGAGAGAAACCAGACATGCATTATAATAAGCAGCAGAAACCCAAATGCTGCTGAATAGCACAACTGGAACCTGCATTATAGTTCGCTCCTTCATTTTAATCAAAGTCACAAGAGCCCTGCCAGATGGAAGACAGGTTGCGATTAAAAATTCCCGGAGAGGTGAAGGACAAAAGTGACAAGGCAGCACACGCTTGCCGGTTTTTCAGCCAAGATTCAGAATGTTACAGGTCACGCTGATCACACTAACTCCAGGAACGGATAAATCAGGAATTATTCCTCCCCCCACAGTGAGGTGGTGAGGTGGTGGGGGGGGATGGAAAAAGGCACTGTACTATTTAATGTCAAAGTTATTAATTCAAAATTAAACCTGATTTAGAAGGAATGAGTTGCCAAATCTTACATTAATTATGCATTAATATAAGACTGCAACTGCAACTGCAACTTAGGACAGACTTATTGAAAATATTCACGGGTGAAATCAGTGTTCTGACTATGTTTCTTACCCATTGCTTGTTATTGTATTCCTGTACATTGCTCCTGTCTAACAGCCATTGGATTTAGCTGCCCATCTTGTGGCAACATGAAGTTCTGCTTCAGTTACATCACAAAGCAGGAAAATGTATTGGTCCAACACCATCTGATATGGTAACGGTGTTACAAAACATCTACCTGCCCGTCCCCAACATGAGGGCAGTTCGTACAGGTCTAACCTGGGGTCGAAGGCCAGTGACAGACAGGACAGTGCAGGATGAATGTCCTCTTCACTGGTTATAAACGAGCATTTGTGATATACGGGTGAACTCTGATTCCCAGCTGAATGACCCAGGCGGACCGTGAAGCAGTCTGGGACGCACGAGAATGATCAGGCAAACCCTTTACTGGAGACACAGCTTTATAAAATATTGCAGATTGTTTTGAGGGGATTGAAGCCTCTAATCGACATACTCCAGTGGAGGTACTGAGGGAATGCTGCATTTTCACAGGCACTGTGATTGAAATGAGACATAAAAGCTCCACCTTAAGGGGACAAAGATGGAACCTCTCCAATTTCTTCTCTAAGGTACCACCATAGAAATGAGACAAACTGCTCATTTATCTAAAATGCTGTTTGTGGCAGCTTCTGTGTGCAATCTCACTGCTGCATTCCCTTCACTGCCATACTGTCTGCAATTCACATCCAATCAGTTACTTCTGATATGGGGAGGACCATCAGGTGCTACATAAATTCCAAGGTCTTTTACGACATAACAATCGAGGAAACAATTCTGTACAATAAATTTGCACGAATGGTACAAGGCTGAAAGAGGGAACGGAATGAGAATTGCAGGCAGCTTGGGTGGTCTGCTTCTAGTTTGTGAATGTAGGTTAATCTTTCTGAATGATTTGCAGCATTGCATGCCAACCTGCCAGTTGCTTCGTGGTAGGCCAGCTCCAGCAGCTCTGCGGAGGAGTGGGTGGGATCTCGCATGTTGCTTCCCTGAAGCTCAGCCATATGCTGCCTGGTCTGGTGGTGGATTTGAATCGCTTCTCCAGAGGGACCTGTGAAGAAAAGGTACAGACTGTACAATCACACCCACGTCACAGAAACCACAACCCCTCCACACACACACACACACACACACACACACACACACAGATGCAAAACTATAAGGAGGGAAGTGATTCGATCCAAAGGCAAGTTTAAAATGCTGGCTCACTGAATTCTTACAGCGTGGAAGCAGGCCATTCGGCCCATCGAGTCTGCACCGACCCTCCAAACAGCATCCCACCCAGACCCAGCCCCTCTAACCTATCCCTGTAATCCTGCATTTCCCTGGCTATCCCACCTAGCCTGTGCATCTTTGGACTGTGGGAGGAACCCGGAGCACGTGCAAACTCAGATAGTTGCCTGAGGCTGGAATCGAACCCAGGTCCCTGGGGCTGTGTGGCAGCAGTGCTAACCACTGAGCCACCGTGCCAGCTCAGCTCAGCCGACGGCATTTCTTTGTCAAATACAGGAAGATGCGGGCCCAAGTCTCATCTCAGGTTTGTGCCCACTTCAGCATTGACATCGAGGATGCACTGTCCCCAAAGGGGCAGCTTCTCTCATGATTGGTTTTGAATAAGATACAAAACCAAGGATGCGAACCCATGTTCCTATTGATGTTAAGGACCTTGTGACGCTGCTTCAATATAAGTAGTAAATCTTTCTAGCATTCTGCCAATATTCATCCCTCAGAAGCAGCACTCTATATCAACATGCTGTGGCAGTAAATTACTCCTTTATGGCATTCTGGAGAGTAAGCCCAAAATTAAAAATTAAATGAAAATCCATTTTAAACATAGAACACAGAACATCAAACATTGAACATTACAGCGCAGTACAGGCCCTTCGGTCCTCGATGTTGTGCCGACCTGTGAAACCAATCTGAAGCCCATCTAACCTAAACTATTCC